CCCATCAGCTCTTCCCCTTTCAAACTCAAGATAAGTCAAGAGATACCCAACACAGTGGCACTCCATCTTCACCAGCACTTGTGCACCCACCCAGCACTGCACAATGTCATGAAGAGCTGTATGCTTGGGTCCCAAATCAACATAACTACATCAGCAAAGCACCTTACCCATGCTAACAGAGCTGATCCCATCTCTGATCCCATGACATCATGCCAGAGACATCTCCAAGGGGTTTTTTTTACCCTATTCAAGTAAGCTGTGTCAGTGCCGTGTTCACCCAGACTCATTCTTACCTTTGTTAAATGAAATATCCTGTCATAGTCACCACTCCTACTTTATAAATTTCTCCAAAATAATCTTTCAAATAGCGCAGAATTTCCTTCACGTAGTAACCAGAACCTGAAACTCATCAGACAGTTATTAACACTGAAGATATCTGTGTTGTGAAGCCAAATTGCTTTTGCTTTAGTAGAAGTTATGATTCATGAGAAAATGCATATATCTATCATGTGGCTACTTGGAAAGAGCATCTTTTACAGTCTGTGATGATCTCTGTATTGAATATAGAAAACAGATTTTTCTGGAGCAGATAGAAGCAAAAATACATGCAGGCTCTCTTGCATTTGAAAGAGGTATGAGGTGAATCTTCAGGGAGAAAGCAGTGCATCTCAGCTTGGTTTAGTTCTGCTAACAAGATAGCTGTCTTGAATAAAATCCCAGAAAAGTTGAGCAGCAGTACTTTTTCATCCATGTAGCCTGTCAAATTCATCCCAACCCTTCCCATACTTGAAGCTGACCTTCAGAAAGATAAAAATATCTATTGTTTTCACAGAATCTTTTATATCAGCTTACTTGTACTGAAATAAGAGTAGATCATTTTGCTCAATGCCTCATTAACTCAGAAAATACTCCCTTTTTGGTAGAATGTGTTGCTTATGGTAAATATCAGAGTAAGTGACTTTTTAGCATTTGTTTGCAAATATTTATTGAAGCTAATATTTCCTTAATTGTATTATACTAAATAATTCATTAAAGGGTTGACCACTCAGAAAAAAAAAATAAAGGCTGAGGTGGCTCTGGCTTAAATTTCCACATTCAGATTTGACTGGATGTTTATTATTTGTGTACAAACTCATTGTTTCTAAATGCTGCCAATTTCCCTTTTTACAAAATACATCAGAAACCTCTAGTTTTATAATGTCTTTTGTTCTAATTAAGCCAAAATGCATGAATTATTAAATATGCTCATTTGCTTTGCTCATGCACCTGAAAGGTTTGCTTTCATTACTAATAAGGCACACACACCACTGAAAAGAGGTAATTAGAGCATCAAAGGCAATGAACCATCCTGAAACTTCATAATGCTTTACTTGAAAAAAATCATCATTCAGCTGAATAGTAAGAAACCAAAAAAGTCTACACTCCTGTGTCCAGAAGGATGTGAACCAAAGTCTTTCCAAATAACATAGATATGGCAAGAGGCTTTTAATCTTCTCAAAAATGCCTTCAGAACTGATGTAGGAATGGCAAAAGTGAACCCCTGTGGTTATATTTCAAAGACTGTGTTTTTAAGTCAGAAACACATTAGTTCTTATAAATCAAAGACTGGTTTTCATCCTGTGAGACTGTTTCAGTCCTAGAAAAGAAGAAAAAGCTCCCTTCTGCAATTTTTTTCCTTTCCAATGCTTTTAATAATCTGCTTTGTTTTATAAGCAGTTGCAGGGAAAGTTGCTTCTTGAAGATAAAAAGGAGCACTGGCACTTTCTGTGATAGGAGAATGTGTACATCATAGAAAATAATGAGTGCTCTGTGTAAGCCATGTCAGGGATGGTGCGTTGCGTATCCAGCTTTGGAGAACAAGTTACACTCTCTGGTTTCTCATTACTGCAATCCTGTTGGAACATCGCCCCCAGACATTTAGAAAATTACAGTAAAATGACTGCATATTGTTTACACAGATTATTGACTATGCTTTCTTATGTAGATTTAGAGAGGGGGAAAAAGTCTTTTTTACATAGCCTGAAGCTCTTAAATACACGTGAGAAATGTCTAGACAGCAGCTTGAAAACCATCCTTCATCTTCGTAAGGTTCAACACTTCTCTTTTTCGTAGTCCGTGCATATCCGTCGCTCTCAAGAAGCAGTGATGTGTTAAGGCAACCGCGGGGGACTGCCAATGAGCCATGCTCTGCCTTCTGCTCCACACCGGCTCCTTCCCAGAGAGCCAAACATAAAACAGAAGATGAAGTAGGAAGAGGGAATGCATGTGAAATGACCTGGCTGGTCTTAATAAAGCAGTGGGTGTTGTGTCACCTGGCAGCAGCCCATAACAGCCGGTGTCAGGGTGACAGACGTCTTCGGGAAAAGACCCGTTGCTGCGGGAAATAGGGATGGATGTTCAGTGCAGAAAATTGGTCCTCTTCCACGGCGGCTGAAGGACCGCTATGTCGAATGGAACACAACCATAGGAGTTCAAGAGAAACCCTGCTTTCTCACACTGACAGCCTCTAAACTTCCCTTGGTTCCCCTGGCAAGAGGGAAGGTGTTACTTTGGTGTTGTAGCTGGCCACATTTTCCTGCCTTCTGGTACTACTGCTACCTCAGAAGGTGCTTTGCTGCCCGCCTTCGCTGGGGCCCTGCGCAGCGGGAATACACACCAAGGCAGCCAAACGAAGGCCCTCACCACCCTCGTTAGTGGGTCTTCATTAGCAGAGATGGTGGATGGGGGGTAGAACCACCCATTCCCACACTCTGGAGGTGCTCATCTCTCTCCCCACTGGGAAGGAGCAGGTAGTGATAAGCCTCCTTATTTAGGATCCTGAGATGCTGCAAAATATACAGGCAGCAAGGGATACAAGCATTTCCCATCCAGACTCTCTCCTCCTTGCAGCCCACAGGGAATGGCCTTTGGAGTCAACTGCCCCCACAACAACGTTTTGGAAGGACTTGGTCCAAAAGCAAACCCAGAAACAAAATAACTGGGGTGCAGCATGGGTGGCCAGGATATCGGGGTCTGGGTGCACAGGGAGCAGCAAAGCCGTTGGGCAGCACGGACATACCCAGGGCAGCTCGATTCGATGCCTGTAGTTAGCAATGTGAGTCAGCACCTGCCTGCGCCTGCCAGTTTGCGTGTCCATATCCTGGTGTACTTAACCCCAGCGGCAGGGATGTTGCTGTCTCAGCAGAAATAGGCCTCATACACAGAATGTGTTTGGGGGGAAAGGTACTGTAGGTAAATAAGTAAAAACAATTAGTGTTACCACCATTCATTTCTCATGTGTCAGTCAGTATGATTATAAGCACGAACATCCCCCTCCCTCTCACACCTCACATAAAAGTTGCCGTGGTGCATATGTCAGCCAGATCTTGAGACACGCACATCTTACTCTGTGGGGGTTAAAGACCCTGTACCACGCATCTCTGCTGGAGACGTAGCTGGAGTAAAACATATGGTGTCAGAGAGTGCCTGGGAGATTTCTATAGGAATAAACAGTGATTCTGTCCAAATGTAACTTCTCAGCAATTCTCTGTCTGTGACCTGAAATTATGGATAGAGCAGATGCTGTTAGTCTTTTAGGTAAGATTTGCAGTGCCTTGACATATGAGAAGGCAAAGGACCTGTTTTGTTTTAGGTCACTGGGCAGCCTTTAGCTTGGTTAGGAGAACCGAAATTGTTATACATTGTTTTATTAGGAAGAAGTGCTTTCCTGGTTTACTCTTTATGCCACTGGCACAAGCCAGGCTTAATTTCTACTGCTGTAAATAGTTTATGTAGACAGAGGTGTAGTAGTGCCAAGAGACTCCTACTTTGAACATTCAGAATGCGTCCCATCTGTAGATGTGACTATGGTTTTGATATCAGCCATAAAAAAGGAAGCTATATGCCTGCAGATGTCTGTAAAGAAAGGGAAATACTGTTCTTGAACATGCCTGTAACAGTGCTTTTTTTCATATATACGTGAGCGTTACACCATCAAATATTTTTAGAATGTCATTATGTGCCTGATTGCCGCTCATTTCCCTGAAGTAACTTTATGAATGCCTAACAGGCAGGTCTAAAATAAATAAGCCAGTCTGATTTCTGTAGCAGATCTAATACATGGACCTATATGTGGAAGGTAGTACTCCCCCTGCCTAATTCCAGACAGCAGGTCCAAGGCACCAGTTTGAACTCAGTAGCTTTGCAAAGGCAAATCTTCTGGACTGAGCAGGCTGCCATCAGCAGGCTCACATAGAAGTGCCCAGGAATTAGGGGAAATAACAAATACGAGGTTTACTCGACAATACAGAACAGAAAGGAAGGTTGATGCAAGATCCAGGATGCCAGCCCCAGTGCATTTTGTTGATACAAAACAACAGAATATTGATGGCCATTGTAGTAAAAAATCATTAGTAGCTTACAGAGAAGTGATGATGGATGGCAGGTAAATGTTGTTGTATTAGGACAAGAATACCTTTCTGCTTTATTCAGAAATCTCTTTAAAACTTATAGCCCTAACACTCATGCATCCATTTTAAATAATTCAGTCATTCTGCTCTAGATTGGGAGTCATTAATTGTAATTGTGAAGGTTTTGATTTAAAATGAAAAATAAGAAATGGAAACCTCTTGAGCGTCCACACTTGCCCAGTTTTGACAAATGAAAACCAAGACCTCTCCCTTCAGGTTTTTGCTAAAGAATTCCTGTTCTTTTCAGTTTATCTTCATCCTGCTATGAGTGCATGTAAAACACATTGTGCTTCTCGCCATAGTCATTCTATGATGAAAGCAAATATTGACAGTGGGTTCTTAGGGATCTTCCCCAAAGACAGTTGTTGACCCTTGATTCTGTAAGACCATAATGTAGTAAATGGCCAACAAAGAATATATCGATTATGAAATGCTGCAGCTGGATTGGTGACAGACACTGGGCTTTGGTGGCCAGGTCCCCCAGCCGGTAGGTGAGCGTGACACCACGCATGACCATAAGTAAGGACTTGTTTTTTCCTTTTGCCCCAACAGGTGATCTCATGCATTTGCCACCCTACCTTAGGATGGACTTTTTATTGAACCGTGGCGTGCAGGGCACGAGCAGAGACCTGGGTTTGGGGCAAGCCTGCTTGGAGCCGCAGAAAAGCCGAACCTTGAAGCGTCCCACCGTCCTGGAGCCGATACCCATGGAGACATCCTCCACGAGAGAAGTACAGTCATGGCAACCTGGTGCTGTGGCAACGTTACCTCAGCGAGAAGGAGCTGAGCTGGGACAGGCAGCTAAAATGAGCAGCTCCCAAGAATCCCTGCTGGACTCCCGGGGCCACTTGAAAGGAAACAATCCCTACGCAAAATCTTACACCCTGGTATAACAAAAAGAGCGTGGCTGGACAGTGGCTGTAAATATTTACATTGAAAAAAAATCCAATGAAAGCTACCTTTTTTTTATTGAATTCCAATATTTATAATTAAAAAAGAAGATTGCCAAAATATTTGACAAAAAAATAATAATAATATGAACGACAGACAGTGCAAAGACTCTCTTGCTTATTTTCTGTCTGAGTGTGAGCTTCATCTGACTGGACATCTGAATTTTTGAGTAAAAGAGTCCAGTTTTCTGATCTTCACAAGCGTTTGTGTTTTTACTGATTTTCTACAAAGTGCATGGAGACTTAACTAAAACATTTTAACTGGAAGTTCCATCAGACAAGATTTAAAGGGGAAAAAAAATCACAAAAAAAATCATCACCCTATTTGTGAATTCAACAGGACATTGATTTGGGAAAACAAAGAGTCTTTTGTCATGTTTGCACTTTTTTTTTTTTAATTAGAAAATGGGTCCTTGATTGTTCTTTCTTTTTGTTGTTAATTAGGATGAGTGATGTCAGTGGAGTGAGGGAATTGATTTGGGGTTTTTTTTAATATTAATTTAATGAGACACTCTTTGCATTTTGTCTATGCGAAATAAAAGGGTCTTCTGCCTTTATTTGTGACGTCTGCTTCCATCGCCTTCTGCTGTACCTGCTTTTCCCTACGTGTAATAGTTGTGTCAGTACCATACTCTGAACAATGTCTTCTTAGTCAGGAAAGCGGGACTCCTACCTTTGGGAAAAGATGGAGGTTCACTTACCCACAGCCTTTTTGCTACCATGGGGCAGAGAGCCAGAACACACAAGTCCCAAGTGCTCTGAACCAAACTCAGCCGGGACTCTGCATCTGCTTCATCTGCTGCTGGAAGGCTTTCGTTCAGCTTCAGTATTTTTGGGATCAGCAGAAATGTGTTGATGTTACTTTACTTGCACCCCAGGAATGGATCTTTAGTCCATTTGGGAGCAGCACTCACAGAAATTAGTCACTTATGTAAGGGAAAATAAAACAGCTTTTCCTGTAATAGGAGAAAAGGGAGGAAAACATTATTCCAGGTCTAAGATCAATGCAGCTTTCTTTAGAGGGAAACATCTTTTTACGGGGGAGCTGTCAGTTCATATTACTTTGTTGCATCTTTTGATTCCGTGAGCAGTACTATTGCTTGTTTTATACAAAGCATAAATGATTGAATACCACAGTCGGTGGGTTTAACACAACAACGTTTGAGCCGCCTCACTAAGTGCCTCCCTGTGAGTGTTCTGGCTACCCCTGTGCGCCCTGGCCAGGAGAACACGGTGCAGAGCATCCCAGATCGGTGCTAATACAAACACGCTGCGCAGCATCGGCTGGAAATACCGGCTGGGGCCTGGGAGCAATAAAATTTGTTAAGCTTGAGCAGGCTGAGGAACTCCTGCCATTTCCCTGGCTGGTGACAGCGTGGGCACTGCTAACGAAAACATTTCTGCACTGTGCTCAATTCAGGTTGTTTTACAATAGAAAAAGCCAGTTATATATAACTGTTTCATTGCTGTTATTAATGTAATTATGTTGGTATAAGGGCACTAAGTTAGCAAAGTACTTACGTGTCTTGAAATGAACCAAGTTGCACTTTCATCCTTAGCTCTGTCAAGCCCAAGTCCTGGAGAGGCCTACAAAAGAAGCCAAGTGAAGAAGTCCTTGAGGTAAGTACTTCTTACAGACCTACAGAGAAGTGCTGAGATGTCACTCAAATAAGGAACCATTTCCCGCCTAGCCTGCCTATTTGACCAATCTGGCAATAAAGCACATTAAAAAACAAAGCCCCAAATCAGACAACAAACAAGAAAAACCCAATCCTTTTACCTCTGTAAAAATAAAAAATAAAAAGAAATTACCCATTAAGTAATTTCAAATAGAATGAAAAAAACCCCATATGTTGAAAAAAGATTAAATTATTAATTTGCTCTTGGTTTTGTCTTTTTTTATATATAGAAACATATATACAAACCTAATTTAAACATGTAAAAGAAATTTTTTTTACTATTTACCATTGAAAAACCCCACAAGAAACTAAACCTATATTGGAGATTTCATTTTGGGGCAAAAGAGTTCTTTTTCATTCCCACAAGAGTCTTTGCAATGTGCTCAGCTTGAGCCAGATGGGGCATTAGTATTGCATATGCAAATAAAAATTGATTTTCCCAGTAGCATTCCGGACTTTTGAGTCTCAGGCCACTTTCATCTTCCATTCAAGCTTCCTTCTTGTCTTGTGAAAAAAGCAAACCCTTTTTGGCAAAATCGAGGCTTGGTCCATTTGTTCCTCTGACTCTTTGTCCTCAAGCACAGGGATGGCAGGTCCCACAGCAGCACTCCTCACCAAAACTCATCTTCAGAGACAAGTACAAGCGTGAGATGGAGTGAGGAAATATTCATGTTTTAAGCTCCCGGTGACTGCTGATAGTGGAAATGTTCTAATATCTCCCTAAAACTACCTTTGGCTGACAGTCTGGAAAGTGCCAACTGTTCTTGACTTCATGAGACCTTCTCCTCATCTGTATTCAATATGACTGGTAATATTCATCCTCCTTACGAAGTGAAGATGCCTTTGGGGGCCCCATATTCAAAGAAATTCATGGCAAGGCTCCTGCTGGTTAAATCAGAGTGGAACCGGGCTGTTCCTTAGCACACGGAGGCTCAGACCTGCAGGGCACCTGGCTCTGTGCCCTGGATCCAGCCAGCTCTTCAGCACGCATAACTGTAAACATGTGTACAGTCCCCTTGTCTTGCGGGTTTTACTGGCTTTTAAGTTCCCCAACAGCACTGGAGCAGTAGCACCAGTTCAACACGTAACAGAAACTTTAAGGAAATGCGTGTCCTACTCTGGTCTTGTCAAGATTTGGAGGTAGAGGTAATCTCTCACATCCATGCATCTGGGAGCACTCGAATCCTTGCAGGTTTGTAGGACCAAGATAAGAGAAAATCTGCTGATATGTCCCTACCAGCAACATTTTAAACACTTCCCTGTAACAGAACCATCAAAATCCATGGATCCCGTAATTCTGTATCCCAGAACCTTAGTCCTGAGGGTGACAGGAGACTTTACTTCAAAAGATGAATTTCAGAGCTGAAGTGCTTCCCTGTCTTCTGCCTACTAAAAGTTATACCTCCTTAGAGATACTCATTCTTTCTCACATTATACTTTTCCCTATGCCCCAACCTCAGCTAACCCTTTAATGATTCACAGATAGTAATTAACTCTCCCTTTTGTCTCAAATGAGCTAGCAACTCCCTCACTCCTGCCTTTTCTAAGAACCCTTTTATCTTTCTTTATTCCATTACTGTTTCGCTTAAATTGCCTAACACAATTACATTAAAATCAGTACAGTTTTTCCCTCTCCTTGTTTTTAGGTTAGATTTTGCTTTTCCTATTCAGAACCAAAGAAATTTTGACCATTTAGAAGTTTTCCTTTTAGCCAGGTGAGCTCCATAGCAGTTGCTCCCGCAGCTAAGAGAAGTTGGGAGTTACAAGCAAGGTTATTAACAAGGTTATTTGTTGTTACAACAAATAACACAGTTGAAAAACAAACAAAAGCAACCCTGGGCTACCCTTTGGGACAAATGGAGGGTCCAGGGGAGCTTTGTAAAACTGGGTTTCCCATTCTCCCAGGAAGCTGGGGGTGGTGATACCAATCCCTGGGTTGCAGGTGGGTGAATGGCAATGAGTCTCTATCTGATTACTTCCATTAAGTAATTAGGGGTAAACGTTTTCAGACTTTGATAGCCAACATCCTGTGCCTGCAGAGCTGGGTATGTATGAAGAGGGGGGCACTTGGAAAGGCAAACTCCTCCAGTACACCATTTTCCTGAGTTGGCTGAAAAGCTCTCCCAGCCAAGAGAGCTGACTCTTGAAAGAAAAATAAGCACACAGTTTGGACAGCCAGTTCATAGTTTTAGTGTTAGTCAGGTTATTTTAGGTCACAGCAGTTGCTTAATGGGCTCTCACGGTCGACTATGAGGCATTCCAGCAGGGAAAAGAGAGTGCTTTTCACCATTAATCTTCTCTGGGTTTGCCTCAGCCTCCCAAGGGGAACCTCACCACCTCCCCAGAAAGCAAATGCCTCTCTAGGATGTGCACCAGCCCAACGCACACCGCTGATGCTGGGGGGGGTCATACGCTGCACTTCCCTAGGGTGTCTTATACTTTCTGAACTGTTCCTCCTCCCCAGTAAATGTTATGACTCTTTGTTTTAGGACTTCAGGGCAGGAAGGTGCTAGAATTGACACAGAAAGGATCTGCAACTATTCTCAGGGTTGACAAGGGCCCTGTAAACTTTACACCAAGTCTGCAGCACAGGAGCATTTGGTACAACAGTTCCCCACCCCGCAGCAACCTCCTCCTGGCTCTGCTTTAGGTACCTCTGCCCTCCGAGGTGAAATATTTCCCCCCTTGCAGGCACCCGCTGAAGGTGTTTGATGCTTTTCAGGCCTGACGGTAGGTGAGGGGACAAGTGCCAGGGATGACTTCAGCACAGAGCTGGCCAGACACGGCCGTGGAGAGAGGAGAAGCATTCATGCCTCCTGGAGCAATACTTTGAGACTAAAATGAAGACTCATCTCTCAGCAATGTGCTTGTCAGGAGGAAGGCTGCAGCAGGTATTTGTTCCGATGCTGCTGGATGTGAAACAAACATACAAAATTTCTACCCAGTGATTTTTTTTTAAATTCTTTTTTAATACATACAGATGTATAAGATTTTGAAATATCTGTGACCATGTGTGAAAGAAACCAATCTCTACCATGCCAATGGAAGAGTAACACCAAAACAAATCTCTCAAGTTACTGAAAGAAAAAAAATTGCTTTGAGATAAATTGTGGAAGTTACTTGGCATTGAAACTGCCAAGTTTTCATTCTCTGAGTCTGTCAGAAAGTATAAAAAAAAGCCCCACAGTTCAAACCTTTGCACTCTTTTATTCCACTGAAAGCAAGTAAAAGGACATCACATAACCGTGACATAGTAGAGAACAACACCACAATGAGGAAAAAAGGTGAAAACCTTTGGGAATACAGTCACCAAGGAAACCTGTCATCAAAACTGTAACATCCAATAATATGACTACGGAATATTGCTACATCTTTTCACCTAGTTTTTCCATTGTGCTTTCTTTAATAGTTCCAGTCCTGGTGGGGTAACAAAATCAACCTGATTCAACAGTTTGATTGAGAAAGCAGTGGTTTCGGTGATATTTGTAGTGCAATGGGAGCCTTGGGTGGTGTAAGGAGGGAAGGGAGCATTGCAGCCAGGGGCTTGGAAATACCGAGCATGCATTGAAACATTTACTGTAGTGATCTTCCACCAGCTAGAGCCTGGTTATGGATGATCCTGCAGCTCTTTCCTAAAGAAAGCACACCAGGTTCACAGAGAGCTTGAAAATCCTCTCTCCTCCCATCCCCTCACAAGCGACATCCTTTCTTCCTGTCCTGCCCCTGATTTTCAGAAGCTTTAGAGGTTGCAGAAACTCAGTGTGGCTGCCCTGCATCCTAGTGA